ATGATTTGTCACAGTTTACTTTATTTTGCTGTCCTCACTTACATAAATGAACTATAGTGTCCTGCACCCACAAAAAAAAATATCAAAAATTATATCTGGTCTCTGAATCATTTTTGGTTTGACTGTATATCCTCCTGTTATTTTCACACTTAATTATGCCCATTAAAATGTATTTTTTGTTACTTTCACTGTTCATTGTTTTTGCTCTGTGGTAGGCCTACATCATCTTTAATGTAATAGCATGCCCGGGTGAGACTCCTGCATTTTTCGTTCATTAAAAACTGTTTAAGTTTATCTGTGCCTCCTGCGTGCTCCCTGCAAGACACATCGTGACACATAGCTACTATAGCTTATTGTACAAACTTTTGATGGAAACATAAATATGATGCACTACTTCTACAAAATCAGTAAAAATGTGTTAATATCATGTTTCTATTTGTAGAATTATGTTGTTTTATTTTGTCCCATCCATGATGTCTGTGATGAAGACAGCCGGTCGTGAAAAAAATAGCTCTTGTTTGTTTCGCTTTTATTTTATTTTTTTTTCTACTGCGACTCTAGCAGTAAATATGCGGAAATGACTAGAATGTTATTGCAGTACCTATTGATTTAGACAGCAAGACTTGCTAAACCGGTTAGAAGTTTACGTGACATTGGGGTAAAGGCATAGCACGCACAGATGCAGTTTCATTGTGGTTTAAGTGGCCGTCAAAACCAATATCGTAGGACCAAGGATGGAGACAGAAAAAAGAGAATCAGGTATTTAGACTTTAATTAAGAAACCAGACTTTGCCATTATTTCTCAACGTAAGCTATCATAAAATCCAGTATAGTGACATATATTTATTTAGCTATTTATTTGTTTATTTACTTTTAGATTACGAGTTTTCAAAGAATCTTGTACTTGGGTGAGTTTCACATATTTGTCTACATCGTGCTTAAAACACGTTAAGTAAAAACTTTTTATAATGTTTAAAAACAAATAATGTTTTATAGGCTACCAAAATAACCACTAATGTGACTTTACAACCTACCCGAATTGTCATATTTTCTGTGTTATTCGTTGTGCCATTTCATGTGCATTCATTTTAAGTAGCATTTAAGCAGATGAATAAAGTTTTAGATTAAGCCATTATTTTTGTTTTATTAGAAATTAAACGCTTTCATAATCATTTCCTCAGATCAGTGAAGGACCAGGTACAGAGGGCGGGAACATGTGCACCGTCTCTTCCTGAACCGCAGCCAATGAGTGCTGAGCGGGAGCAGCTCCTGGACCAGATGGCTGAACTCATCATAGGCGTCAGCGACTTTCTTGATCGAAATAGAAAATTCAATACGTTAGTATCGAAAGGTATTTTTGGTATGCGAGTGTATGTAACAATTCTGGAAATGCCTTTCCGCCCCTAAGCAAATACCCAGCGGGCACCTTGATGTTGAAAACACATCAAATTGACGTAAAAAATGCAAATCAAACTGACGTCAAAAACGTAACGTTCATTTGACATCCACAAATGTTCTTTCGACCACCAAAATAATGACACAAAAGCAATGCAATGAAAGAAAAGTTTTATTCAACAAACTTGAAATCAATGATATGTAAATGCAAAAATAAATGCACCTATTCTGATTGTGAACAAAGAAAGCAGAACAACGAATGTTGGTCCATATCACGATCTGTGCAGCGCTACTTCCTGATAGTTTAATTAAAACTGGCCAAGTTCCAAGACATTCCGCATTTTACAGTGAATTGTGGTGTTATGCCTGGACTCCGCGGCTCCTTCCGTGTTGTCCGCATCGCAGAAATCATATATGGACAGTAGGCCTATACATTTATTTGTGTTCCATATATGGAACACAAATAAATGCTTACATCATTGCCAAAAATCATAGAAACTGTGGACATTTTGTTAATAATTTTCTAAGTACAAACTCACTGAAGTGCCTCGGGGACATGAGTGTGATTTAAGATAGATATAATACCTTATTTTAAGCTAAAAATGATTAAAATTCAGTAATTATTTTTATTCATTATAATGGGCATACCAAAGTATCGTGAAAAGCTTCTAACAATTCATTTTGGTGAACCACCACTTTAAAAACTTAAATATGACCAAATCTCAAATCAATATACACAACCCCCTAAGCAAATATAGACTGTGAGGTAGTTTAAGAAATAAAGTTGTGAGATATGTGCCGCAATTATGAGAACTTAAGTGGCAATTTCATAATATAAAGTCAAAATTGAACGTCGCAATTACGGTAAATAAAATTGAAATGTTTTATTTTATCATGTTTAATTTCAGCTTGATTGATGGGTTTGCACATGTGGTGGATAGACAGAGTTTCCAGAGGCTTGCAGAAAAAGTGTTTGTTGATGACATCACCTGGGCGAAAATTGTTACTCTGATCTGTGTTGTTGGGAAAACAGTTGCAAAGGTATGCATACTTTTTTTTCTTTATTTGAGCAATAATAATAATAAAAAAACAGTACAAAATTATTAAGGTACTGAATACATTCATACATTTTTGTGTTTCAGTGCCCAAAATTAATTATGGTTGCACTTTGATGCACGTGTGCTTGTTTTGCTTGGATAGATTCTTGCTAATTCAGTCCCAGGTATTGTATCTTGGACATTGGATTACTTCCAGAATAACCTACAGAACTGGATCTGCAGTATGGGAGGATGGGTAAGATTTGATAAATATGACAGCACTTGTATTAACACAGCAAAGCAATGAAAAGACATCAGTAATAGTCACTGATTAACTCTTTTAAATACTTGCAGATCAACAGTAGCTCTTCCTTGGCTCATTACTCGTTTGAGCGAGAGTTTGGTTCCTTATCAGAAATCAGGCTTACTGACCAGATCTCCCTCTCCTCTGGTGTCCTCCTCATCAGTGCAGTGCTGAGTGGCTTTATCATCTGGAGAATAACCAGAGGTGACTGATGAGGTTCAGTGGAGGACTGATGAAGTGAGAAAAGGAGGAATGCTGGGATTCACACATGCAACAGACTAAAAAATAAAAATAGTTTGGTGATCAAATATAGAAGAGAATAATAGGAATATTATGCACAGTGAGAAAGGGTGTAAAATAATATAATATATAGTATATGATCAGACAAGGGTTACAGACTGTGATTTTGTCACCTCTCAGTCCATGTGAGAAAGACAAAGAATGAGGGCACTTTAATTTAAGCACATCCAGAATGGGACGTACAGTATAGCAATAACCAGCAAGATTTTAAACCTCCTAGATACTGTGCCAGGAGGACTGTTCACTGTCATTTTAGTGACATTGTTATTAACCTCTACCTCATTTTCACTAGTGCCATTGTTTTAACTCCATGCATTCTGTTGTCAGACCAACTTTTAATAAAACGAAATCTGATCTCATCCGGGCCTAAGCAAAATGGATTTGTTGTAGAAATATTATGTACGAAAATTCTATTGTTATATTTAAAATTACATTCTTAACTTTCTCAATAATGTAGATCATGAAAGCCCAACACAAAGGGCCTGCATAAAGTTAAATAAAGCCCTTCCCAGGCTGCCAAAATAACCACTAATGTGACTTTACAACCTACCCGAATTGTCATATTTTCTGTGTTATTCGTTGTGCCATTTCATGTGCATTCATTTTAAGTAGCATTTAAGCAGATGAATAAAGTTTTAGATTAAGCCATTATTTTTGTTTTATTAGAAATTAAACGCTTTCATAATCATTTCCTCAGATCAGTGAAGGACCAGGTACAGAGAGCGGGAACATGTGCACCGTCTCTTCCTGAACCGCAGCCAATGAGTGCTGAGCGGGAGCAGCTCCTGGAACAGATGGCTGAACTCATCATAGGCGTCAGCGAATGATTTTTGGCAATGATGTAAGCATTTATTTGTGTTCCATATATGGAACACAAATAAATGCTTACATTATTGCCAAAAATCATAGAAACTGTGGACATTTTGTTAATAATTTTCTAAGTACAAACTCACTGAAGTGCCTCGGGGACATGAGTGTGATTTAAGATAGATATAATACCTTATTTTAAGCTAAAAATGATTAAAATTCAGTAATTATTTTTATTCATTATAATGGGCATACCAAAGTATCGTGAAAAGCTTCTAACAATTCATTTTGGTGAACCACCACTTTAAAAACTTAAATATGACCAAATCTCAAATCAATATACACAACCCCCTAAGCAAATATAGACTGTGAGGTAGTTTAAGAAATAAAGTTGTGAGATATGTGCCGCAATTATGAGAACTTAAGTGGCAATTTCATAATATAAAGTCAAAATTGAACGTCGCAATTACGGTAAATAAAATTGAAATGTTTTATTTTATCATGTTTAATTTCAGCTTGATTGATGGGTTTGCACATGTGGTGGATAGACAGAGTTTCCAGAGGCTTGCAGAAAAAGTGTTTGTTGATGACATCACCTGGGCGAAAATTGTTACTCTGATCTGTGTTGTTGGGAAAACAGTTGCAAAGGTATGCATACTTTTTTTTCTTTATTTGAGCAATAATAATAATAAAAAAACAGTACAAAATTATTAAGGTACTGAATACATTCATACATTTTTGTGTTTCAGTGCCCAAAATTAATTATGGTTGCACTTTGATGCACGTGTGCTTGTTTTGCTTGGATAGATTCTTGCTAATTCAGTCCCAGGTATTGTATCTTGGACATTGGATTACTTCCAGAATAACCTACAGAACTGGATCTGCAGTATGGGAGGATGGGTAAGATTTGATAAATATGACAGCACTTGTATTAACACAGCAAAGCAATGAAAAGACATCAGTAATAGTCACTGATTAACTCTTTTAAATACTTGCAGATCAACAGTAGCTCTTCCTTGGCTCATTACTCGTTTGAGCGAGAGTTTGGTTCCTTATCAGAAATCAGGCTTACTGACCAGATCTCCCTCTCCTCTGGTGTCCTCCTCATCAGTGCAGTGCTGAGTGGCTTTATCATCTGGAGAATAACCAGAGGTGACTGATGAGGTTCAGTGGAGGACTGATGAAGTGAGAAAAGGAGGAATGCTGGGATTCACACATGCAACAGACTAAAAAATAAAAATAGTTTGGTGATCAAATATAGAAGAGAATAATAGGAATATTATGCACAGTGAGAAAGGGTGTAAAATAATATAATATATAGTATATGATCAGACAAGGGTTACAGACTGTGATTTTGTCACCTCTCAGTCCATGTGAGAAAGACAAAGAATGAGGGCACTTTCATTTAAGCACATCCAGAATGGGACGTACAGTATAGCAATAACCAGCAAGATTTTAAACCTCCTAGATACTGTGCCAGGAGGACTGTTCACTGTCATTTTAGTGACATTGTTATTAACCTCTACCTCATTTTCACTAGTGCCATTGTTTTAACTCCATGCATTCTGTTGTCAGACCAACTTTTAATAAAACGAAATCTGATCTCATCCGGGCCTAAGCAAAATGGATTTGTTGTAGAAATATTATGTACGAAAATTCTATTGTTATATTTAAAATTACATTCTTAACTTTCTCAATAATGTAGATCATGAAAGCCCAACACAAAGGGCCTGCATAAAGTTAAATAAAGCCCTTCCCCCAAATAAAGGCAAGGTATGAGTACAGGAAAATCATTAACAAATAGATATTTAAGTAGCATGTAAAGTAATTACATTTATTCTAAAATGCATGCATTGAAAAAAAATTAACTGAATACACAAAGCCAGAAGTGTTAAAAAAGGGCAAGCACTCTAATTGTACTGTAAATGTGCTCTTGGATCCCAGAGTAACATGGAGAAATCACAACAAACATTTGAACAATCACACAGGACACATGTTGAAAATTTTGGCATGAGCTTTTAACATTTTTATTGACTTTTTGATAACGTTTTCTTTTTAAATTGGATTTCATTTTTCTAATTGTTTTTATTTTTTTCCTATCTGTAATGGAGAAGATTTGATCAGGTAGGTTAGCATTCACGTTCAAACTTCCGTACTTTTAGTAATATAACATTTTTAAGTCTCAGTGTTCACAAACTCTGTTAAATTATTACAGTTTATTAATTTTTTTCTTTATACATTTAAAAAATATAAAAGTTAAATAATAAACATTCCATTGAAATATATTTTATACAGTTCTTGATATTTTTTTTCCATTTTTTTGTATGACAATAAAATTGTATCCAGCATCAATCTTAGTAGCATAGAACTCATCCATTTCTTTTAGGAACCTTCTCTTTCTCACTGGCCTCTCTTTCTAACTCTCTCTGTCCCTATTTCTTAACTTAGGGGGGTGTATGGTTAGGCTTGCGCTCAGCAGTAGACACAGCAGCTCCATTAGCTGTGATAGTGCAATGAATTCCCCCTTTAAACAAGCTACATTAAGTAACTAAAGTAGAAAAGGACAGGTAGTGCATATTGGGTCAAACTATACTAGAATAAATGCACAGACACATGCAGTGAAAACTGAGTTCCTGCAGGCTGTTTTGTCGACATTTGCTGCATCTGTTCAGCTCTGAGTCTGTGGAAGCTCTGATGAATATTCACTACAGATACTGTATATACAGATAAATATCATCTTAAAAACAATATATAAATATGTAAATGAAACACTTTCGGAGTCTTTCGGAATGGCTAGCGTATAGCCATAACTTATATTTGGCATGGCTACATTTTGAAGAAAAAGGAATGTGAGGGAAACCAGAAACAATATACTCTCTTTCTTCCTCTCTAATTGTCTCAGAAAGAGAAGTCGCAGAGTAAAGAGCCCAGGTGAAAGAGATGGTTACCTCATTCTGGCCACTCACAAATTATTCACAAGTTATGTCCTCATTGTATTCCATGCATGCAATATAAGTCAACTTCAAACAATATGATAGAAAAACACAAGAACAAGGGATGCAAAAAAGCTTCTTCCTCAAAAATAGAGAAGGAGAGGGGACAGATGAGAGGGGGAGGGGATGCAAACAGGAAGTTGAGAAAGCGTGAAGACTGATTCTGGCTTTGTTCTGCTCCTCTCTGATATGTTTTGTATTTGGGTTTCAAGTAAAGGTATGTTGAGCTATCAGCCATCTGGAGGGGTTGCGGTCTCATTCACGCCAAGACAAACTCTCATGGGAAGCATTTGCAGAGAGAGCATTTTCAATTGATGTGGCCGGTTTGCTTACACATTCAGGGAACAGTTTCAGGCACACTGGATTTTTTATTAGGGATGAGATGAACATGTCCCCCAATTCCTAATGACAACAATGAGGAAAAGGTGGCCCTCTATCATTATTGCTCCAAAACAACATCCAATCGGATTTATGAACGACCAGAGAGGTACACATCATCTTAACCAGTCAGCAAATGCAATCTGGAACTGAGTAGCACATATAAAACAATTTAATGTCCTACAAACCCTCTGAGACGAGTATATGCTTACATATAAACGTATATGTTAACTCTAAAGTGCATGAGTGTCTTCCTGCACCGTGAAGCATGCAGAAAAGACGTTGCAAATAACATAAAACAGGCCTGATGTATTAATCGAGAAGAGAGAGGGAATTCAGTGCACCACTAAAGAAAGCGACATGGCTACTACAGCTGCACACATCTGTCACACCTTCAAGATACTTGGACCAGCTGCTAACATATGAAGTAAAACTACACGGTCAGCAGACAATGCTGGCTCTTGTGGTGATGGAGCTGCATCTGTGTCATTTTCCCTCCCTGGACACACAGCACTGGTAAACAGACACCAGCCAGCTGGCCTGAGCAGATGGCATGTGTGTGTGTGAGCTGCTAAGGTCTTGCTTAGGTGTTGCATAGGTAGTTACTAAAGTAAGCGTACATCTGATTCTGAACGAAGAGCGCTGACAGAACACAGTCTTGGTGTTTCAAGACAGCAAATGACACTTTAAATCAACGTAAACAACACCTAACCAGACTAACCAACTTTTGTAAAGTAACCAATGCTTGCTTGGTATGTTGTTGAAGAAGACACTAAAAGTAAAAAAAAAAAAACAGTCAAACAGTTACTCACGTGTAATCTATGATTTAAAAGTGACACTGGTGGAATCATGGCCTCCTCTCACACAGGATAATGCTAATACTGATGCAAATATCAGAAATCTGCTGCTAAGTTAATAAGGAAGTCCATTTTGGTATGGCATGGCTGGTTTTAGTGGGTGCTCAGCATATGCAAATCTCGAAACTTTCAAAATAAAACAAATATTAAATGATTGTAACAAAATCTTGTCAAAACCTTGCAATGCTCTGTACCACCAGAAAATGAACTACAGAATAAAATGTCAACATTTTAAACAAACTCAACACAACTTAAGAACTACAAAACCATGTTCAGGTTTCTGAATCAGCATGGTCTCCTGAGCACCTTTGAGCTCATATGGTGGCGCTACTCTCACATTATGGCTTCCTGATTGAATAATAGTGCTTTGTAAGTGCTCAGGGTCTCGTGACACAGCAGTTCACACAACGCTAATATTCATTAGACTGATATTAAGTGGATGCAGGCTCACTTTCGATGGATAAAGCTTTGATTTACCCATGGAATGTGGATGAAATAAAAAGAACAAGCATCGCAAATCAAGCCAAAACTTTCCATCAGGATTCAACTTAAAAAGAAAACTTCACCCACAGCCTTAAAATCCCCT